CACACATGAGAATGGGACTTAATATCTGGCAGTAGGCCAAATAAACTAATAGATGAAAATGCTGATTCCAGAGGATGAGCAGGCAGGTGCAGAAATTGCAGAGGTCAGGGAAGCCTGACGGAGCCTGCTCTGCCTGCCATGACCCACATTACCAGAGAGCGTGGTGGCTGTGGTTGGGAGGGCGGGCGCAGAGCTTAGACCTTCACAGCAGCACCTAGGCCAAGTTAAGCCTCAATGCTGTGGCCTGGCTGGGCTCCATGGCTGGCTTACTTAATGGGACGTAGGGGAGAAAGCAAACTAAGTGTGACCAGCAAGCAAATTGGCCAAGTGGCTGGCTGTTCAAATAACAGGACTGAGGCCTGAGCTGTAGCAGTGAACATGTCTTGTTTGCATATGTGTGTGCACTCCTAAAATACTTAATTATAAATTGGGGTGCTGCAATTGTTGAGTAAGGCCACTTGCCAGGTGAAGACCTCCGATGACAGGCCTACATCCTGCTCCTACTGAACCACTGCTTCTTCGACATGCCTATTCTTATCTGTGTTTATAGCTAAAACTGTTGTCTGTACTGCAGCCATTTCTCCTTTAAGCTGCTGCAGTGCCTTCTTTGTAAGTCTTCTCCTGCTGGCTCTCTCCTCCATTTGGAGTTGTCTCATTATTGAGATCCTCGTGGCAGCGGCTTTCTGACATATTGGAGGAAGTGTAAAATAACAATTTTAGTTTTGATTATCTGTTATAATAACACATGAGAATAATAATGGACTCAAAAACGTGAGCAAGTTTGCTCTTCTTGCAGACCTACAAATTAAAATTGGCTCACACAGATTAATCAATTACATATTTGGTTGATTGATCTTCCAAGTAAAGCTTCCAGCTCTGTTTTATTAGATCTCCATCTGGCTTCTCCCTGACTTGCAATCAAGCATATAGTGTATAAAGCGTATCAGGTAGGAGTTGCCAACTTTTTCAGGGCTTTAGATGCATGCGGATTTTTGAGTGAGTGTTCTGGTTGCTTCTCTCCCCTCTCCCGCTGATCAACCTCCCCACCACCACAGTGGCGTAGCGTGGGGGGTGTAGGGGGGGCGGCCGCACCGGGCGCAACATCTGGGGGGGCACACTCACACTCGCAGCTCTCTGCCCCTACCTGGCTCACTCACAAATTACTTGCCTTGCCCCGGGTGCTGACAAGCCACGCTACGCCACTGCACCACCAAGAGACAGAAAGAGCGAAAGCACAGAGCCAGTAGAATTAATCTGAGTCTTGAAAAGAAAGAAGAGGTGAAGGAGGAAGTGGGAAAGAGCTTCACTCTTCCAACTTCCTGCTTCAGGTCTACTTAATTTTCAAGGAAGAAAAAGGTAATCACTGACCCTACTTCATCAGTGAGTTGGGGATCTGAGTGTCTTCATGGGTTATAGAACAGAATGCAAGTACCAAATGCAGTGAGATGCTTCAACTTTGTTTGTATTGTTGCTGTATTGTTTTTAACACTTGACTGGAAGCCGCCCAGAGTGGCTGGGGAAACTCAGCCAGATGGGCGGGGTATAAATAATAAATTGTTGGAAGACACAAGAACTTCCCACGCTGGAGGAATGGCAGATGAAACTGATGGACTATATGGAACTGGCGGAAATGACTGGTAGAATCCGTGACCAGGGAGAAGAGTTGGTGGAGGAAGATTGGAAGAAATTCAAAGATTATCTTCAGAAACATTGCAAAATTAAAGAATGTTAGAGTGATGTTGGATCGAAAATAAGTGGTTTCCAGCTGTACAGGTTAAAGTTATTGATAGACTAAGATTAAAGATTAAGATTAAAGATGTTTAAAGAAATGGAAATTTGGTACCTAAGAGGTAAAATTTTAATGATATATTACATTAAGATTAAAGATTAGGATCAAAGAAGTTTAAGAGTTATATATTATATTAAAATTAAAGATTGGGTTTAAAAAAGTGGAAAAGAAATTGCTAGACAAACAATTTGGATTGGAATACAAAAGAGGGAGGTATGAGGAAGTCCAGAAAATAAGTAAACTCAAAAACGGAAATGGAAAAGTGATATTGTTTTTAATTGTTATGTTTCTTTTTTTATTGTTGTTTCTTGTTTTTCGTGTTTTTTTATTTCTTTCTGGGATTTGTATCGTGTATTTGTGTATTTTTTTATGTTTTTTCTGTTCAATTTTTGATTGAAACCTTAATAAAAAATTATTTTAAAAAAATAAATAAATAATAAATTGTTGTTGTTGTTGTTGTTTTGTTCTTTACTTTGGTGTACTTAGCCATCATTGACTGAAGGAAATTATTTACAGGAGAAAACTGCAGCTTAGTTCTTAAACTGGTTAGTACAGTTTTAAGAGGAGGGCCATCATTCTCAGTAATCTACCCACATACCTTTCTGTGTAATCACGTAATTATTAATTTGCTTTAATTGAGGAAGGCATGTATTTCCTGTTCACACTTCTCATTGTTTGTGAAATATTGCAGCTGCCTTTCTGGTGACTGTTGTGTTCAACCCAAATCAAGGATGAAATGAATATACTCGTACTAACAAGAGGCTTATTTTTTTTACTTAGGCTTGGGATTGCTTGATTTAAAATTTCAAAAGGGGTCACTTTTAAGTGGTGGTGTCTGAAGAAACAGAACATCTAACCTATATATTAATAGGAAACTCATTTTGGTGTGAAGATCCTTGAATCAGAAATGGCACCCTCCTTGTACAAGGGGGAGTTATCAGCAGGCTTGGGAAAACACCAAGATTTGTACAAGTGGTGGTAAGGGGAGCCTGAAAAGCACTTTCCCAGTACTACTGTCTGCAACCCCATCCCTCTGAACCAGCCCAGAAGGACATCATGGTCAATGGCATCAAGAGCGACAAAGAGATCAAGGAGAAGGAGCAAGGTAGTCCTCCCCTCCCCTCCCCTGTACTTGACTATGGTAATTCATCAGAGTCATCAATTCCAATTCATGTCTATGGCCAAGCCTGAACCCTGATAGGAATGGATTCAGATATAATCTGTATCATCCAAGAATGCCTGTGGTTAGTATTTAGTTCAAACCAATGAGTCCAGGGCTGGCTTGTTTACAGTAGGTGTGGCCATATCCCTGCTTCTTTCAAGGCAACTGGGCCCATTCACTTGCATACTGAAGCATTAACCACACTCCAGACCCATCCAGTCAAACCTCCTCTGCTAGATTTAATAAACTTGTATTACATCACAGACCAATGGACACTTGCTTTGGAACATTTCCCATCAAAACCCAAATGGCTTATACCTACTTATGACTGGGCTGTTTCTTATTCCTTTCCTTTTCAATGTTTATTTCCTTCTCCTTCTTTTGAAAAAAATGAAGAAAAACAATGTCAGGTGTGAAAGCAACAATTGCATCATGTGCAAGAATGCCTGAGGGCACATACACTGTTTAGGGTGTGCACCCCATTTGCCTGTGGAACATAATGCGCACATGTGGTGTGAAAGTCACTCTTAACAGCGGTTGCATTTTGCTGATGACTGTCAGACATGGAGATTGGCTCCAGTCCCATTCCTTGGCATTCCTCCCCTCCTAACAAGTTTTTTGAACTAATGAGAGTGTCATCAGCAAGGAAGCTAATTATGAAACATATTTGAAACCAAGTGCTGTCCTGATGCCAGTTGCCTGAATCTTTAACACAATTGCTTCTGTTTAACAGTTACAATATTTTATTTAAAAAATATAAAAATAAAGATTTACTGCCCTGTCCTAAACTTTGTGGCGTTTAAAGTAAACAGGAACAGAAGACGGGTGGAGTGCCAGAAAACCCATCTAGGGCTGGGTGTGAAAGAGGAAGCAGGTAATACCTGCAAGGCTGGGCTGCCCATGAGGTGGACTGAAGCAGCTTTCCTGCCTTCCTCTGCCACTGCAATGACTTCTGGCAAGATCACGGCAGGCACCTTCCTATTTTACCTCAGGCAGCAAAATGAGACCAGCCACCTCTGAATACTTGGGTCACATTCACACTGTACATTCAGGGCACTGTTATGAACAGTCATTGCTTCCCCCCAAGAATCCTGGTAATTGTCATTTGTTGGGGACACTGAGGGTTGTTAGGAGACCCCTATTCCCCTCACAGAGGTACGATTCCCAGAGTGTTTTAAAAAAATCAAGCCTTCTTTCCAGGCAACTCTGGGAACTGCAGTTCTGTGAGGCGGACAGGGGTCTCCTGACAACAGCACTTCCCAGAATTTTTGGGGGGAAGCCATGACTGACCAAGTGGTATAATGATAATTTAAATGTATGTTGTGGGTGTAACATTTCTGAAATTCCTTCTTCTGTGCAACTGTGAAAGGTTCAGGAGCCTTGTCCTCTTTTCCCTCTGGCTGCCCTCGGTATGATTCTCATTCCCACCCCACCCCAAGCTAATCTAGGGTTACCATATTTGACATTAGCCGGACGTCAATTCCACCTTTGTTTTTTTTAAAAAATGATATTTATTAAGATTTCCAATAAAAAGAACACATCAATAAAAAAATTAAAAAGAAAAAAGAAAAATACACAATTCAAAAGTACACAATACATAATCCACAAAAAACCAAAAGACAAAAAAGAAAACAATTAAAAACAATACCACCTTTTCATCAACATTTTTCAATTTACTTATTTTCTGGACCTCCTCATACCTCCCTCTTTTGTATTCCATTTCGATTTGTTTGTCCAGCAGTTTCTTTCCCTCTTTTTTAATCCCAATCCTTAATCTTAATATAATATAACATTAAATTTTTACCTCTTAAAAACCAAATTTCCATTTCCTTTAACTTTTTTAATCCTAATCCTTAATCTTGATCTATATATAACTTTAAAGCCTGTATAGCTAGAAGCCGCTTATTTTCAATCCAACATCACTCTAACATTCTTTAATTTTGCAATGTTTCTGCAGATAGTCTTTGAATTTCCTCCAATCTTCCTCCACCGACTCTTCTCCCTGGTCACGGATTCTGCCAGTCATTTCCGCCAGTTCCATATAGTCCAGTCAATTCCACCTTTGAAATCCCGGTAGTGTCCAGGAGAATCCGGATGTCTGGCAGCCTCAGCTTTTCCTCACAACTCTGTGTTTGGTAGGTAGCCAAGTTCACCTAGTGTAGCTCACGAGTGAGGAGTAGACTTTACCACACCCCTACTGCTGGCAGAGGGAGGTGGGCCTGGTTCTCTCAATAAGAGCCAATATCATACCTCTTCCTGCCACTTTTCCTTGCTGTCCACCCTGAGAAGGGATGCAAGATCCCTTCCATCAGCGACATCCCTGCTCTGCTGCCTGAGGTGCAGAAATGTACCCTGCAACTGCGCCGTTGAGACAGTGGCAGCGAGGGCTCTGCACTCTTGCGAATCAGTAGGCTGCCAGTTGCTGGAGCTCTGAGCTTTGTCAGACATTTATCAGCCACGTGCTATGAATCCATTCGTCACCCCAAAGCTTTGACACTGGGCAAGACATCTTCATGGAGTGGGATCACCTTGAAACTCAGCAGCTGCGAGCATGAATATAATGACAAACCACCTACACTATGCTGTGTTTAGTGTTTCGCTGTGGGTTTCGTAGGCAGCACTCAGCAGCTTTTGCTCCCTGATTAATTTGTCTGTTGGGATCAAAGATGCCATTATTCACTGGGTTTGCAACTATACAGTTTGAGAGCTCCTCAGCCTCTCTGAACCTGCCCCATCCTATTTGGGATTTGAACAATTAAATAGCACTCAGCAGAAGGGGAGACATTTTCTTCAAGCTCACGTCCTTATGCCATCTGGTGGGCTCAGCAATAAATGCAGCAACAGCGGTCCATGATCTCTGCAGTTGCATGATGTCTGGTGGTTTTTTGTCTTTTTCCTGTATCACATGCTTTGCTGAGAGATTTTGCAACCATGAGCAAAATAACAGGGTAGCATGGAGGCGAAGGGTGGGCTGGAGGTGGAAGATAGAGAAATTTATCTTTCCTTAACAGAGCGCATGTTTTTAACGGTATCCCATTCTTCCTGGTGTGAGTCAGGATCTCCTCTGCAAAAAGAAAAGGAGGGGAAGAAGGGGGAGGCATAATATTTTAAAAAAACCCTTTGCAGTCAATCATGCACAGTTTAACATCATTACCCTAAAAATCTGATGTGATTTTGGCCTGTGTCGTCCGATGTGCTGATTAAAAACAACCCCCCCCCCCCGATGAACCCCATTCAGGTTTGAAGCTTTATTGGTGGGCAAAAAAGAGTGGGGAGCTGCAGCTGAAAACGGCCTACCTTTATTGTCCAAATTAATGATAAAATGCAGTGTACATCAAGCTGTCAGAGCCAATATGCACATTATATGCAACAAGGAGGTAGAATATTGCAATGTTCCACTTCAGTGTGTGTGTGAAAGATCATATTTTTAAATGCCACCCACACACTCACACACCCTTGAATGTAGTAAATTAACATAACAGAGAGAAGGATGGGGTTGTTTTCTACATACAGAAAGCTGTTTGCATGGGGAGCATTCAAAAATACGAACCACATACTAGAGCGAACCTAGCTGTTTAGTTTTCTCTCAGTTTCTCAATGTCCAATTTTAAGTTCAGTTCTCTATATTTCTGCATCAGTTTGTGATTTATTTATTTTTTTAAAAAGCTTCTCATTAAAAATTTTCACTGCCTGGGTGCAAATTTCTCCTAACAGAAACATTTTGGTGTGCAGTTTTGCCTAATGTAATGCATTTTAATGCTGTTTTCACTAATATATTCATTTGTGTACACACTTCCCCCTAATGAACAAATCATTGCACATGTTAGATAGCTGCAATGCAAAATTTGGGGGGGAAATGCGAATTTCAAAAGCAAGCTGCAAATATTTCATTCCACATATTTTTTCAGGAAGTGCCAAATAGGTAGGTTCACATTAAAATACAAACTGATTGGAATTCCTTCCCCTCTACCTCCATAAACACTTGTTCCCTGAGGCGGTGCCATCAGGAATTCCATCACTTCAGTCTACTCCTGCTCCTGAGCAATGTGTCCATTGGTTTTGTGTCCCCTTTGCCATGTCACCCTGTCATGACAATCTCTTCATCCCAGTTCTGAGCCACACACATGCCATGGAATTTCCCCATGACAGTGTTGCCCTTCCTGGAAACCATACATGGGCACGGGAGGAACTGCGACTCTCTTGCCATATGGATTCTCTCCAACGTTGTGGGGTGACAGCTACGGGTGACAGGTCAACAATAACTCACACAGATCCAGTAAAGTTAACTCTTTATTCAAAGAAACAAGACAGCTCAGGAGGCCAGGCCTAGTGAACACAGCAACTCTTCCTGGTAGGACTTGACTGTGGGCCTTCCCACAGCTCCCCTGTCCCAGTTCCTTCCCAAGCTATCAGAGGCTCCTTTGTCTTGCTTGTCTTTAATCCGCCCTCTTCATACCTTTTTGGATTCTGGGAGACCAGTTTGCAGTGTTCTATTTCCAAGTTGTTCATAAACTAAGCTGTTCTAAAACCAAGGTACCACTGTATCTCCATGCCAGGTAAAAAATCCACAGCCGAATTTCTTTTTGCTGTACAGTCATTAAGACACAGGAGCCGTGCTAGGGGGGGAATTCAGTCCTAAGTGTAAAATCTGTTCATGGAACTTTCAGAATTTTGGGATTTGAGCTTGTAGAAACTAAGCAAAACTACTTAGAAGTAACTTCCACTGAAGTGAATGGTGCTTACTTCCAAATGTGTGCACAGAATTACAGTCTTGAGGCTGGATATTCAGCTCTGCTTGCTTGCTCCATTGGCCACAGTCTGAAAAATCCATAGCATCCATTTGTGCTTTGAGAGGGTCGGAGCCTTAGGCTGCAGTTGTTTGCACATCTACTCAGATGTAAGTCCCCCATCACTTACTTCTGAGTAAGGATGCATAGAACCGAGCTGTTCATTTGCTAGTGCTCTAGCATAAAATGTGGTTCAATGGCACCTCAAGCATGGGAGCAGGTTAAGACTTGTTCAGCGGGGGTGTGAGAAGAATGGGGACGGATGCATTGTTGGCTGAATGCATCCCTCAGCAATTGCCTTAATTAACTGGCTTTGCTTCAGGATTACCACATTGTGACGGCTGGAAAGGATGGCCCCAAATATCTGCTGGGGAGATCTTGTGCATAAGTGGATATACAGAACCAAGGAAGAAGCCAGAATCTTCTTCCCAACACCACTGCCTTGCCTCCAGCAGCTGATGCCAGCTTCTTTCTGTAGCCTTCTCTAGAGAGCTGCCTTTCAGAAGACACTTTACCTTTCAATCATTGAGGGCAGAAGAATAGGAAGCAAGCCATACATATTCATGAGGCATAATCATCAACATTCCAAAAGCGTCTCGAGACACTGGCTTAAAGGAACAAGACCCACTCCAGAAGGGTGAGCGTTGCTCAGAGAGGATCCTTTTAACACGGGGATTAAAATAACCACACAGAAGCATCTTTTGCTACATGCCTTATAAGGTGGTAGGGTTTCCCCATGTCCTTTTATTAAGATGAACCCCACCCCGCAAAAAAATAAAAAGCTGGGCATCCTATACTTGCAGGCCACATATGCTGAAGCAAACCAAAAAACAGCTATCCCTAAAAATTCACACTTACCCCAATGCTGTGATGCAGTTCTCCAGCAAAACAATGCACATATTAGTGAAAATAATGCATATATATATATATGGGCTGGAAGAAGCTCTGGCGCTGCAGATGAGCACCAGAAGAATGGACCAAAACAAACGGGGTATTCTGGGATCCAAACAGAAGCCTGGATTGGCTTCTGTGATCCGGGATGTCCCTCTTAAAACAGGACACTTGTGTGGGGGGGTATATATAAATCACAAATAGATGCAAAATGCAGAGAACCAAATTTAAGACCTGGGAAATGGGATACTGAGGGAACTGAATCTTTGTATCCCTAATACTGAGTCAGACCAGTTGGTCCCTGAAGCTCAGTGTTGTCTACACTGACAGAGTTTCGGAACAGAGACTCTCCCAGCCCTGCCAGGAAAGCCATTGCTCCTGAAACTTGAGAGAAAAGAAAGGAAGGGTCATTGGACCTGGTCCAGCAGGCTCCTCTTGTTGTTGTTGTTGTTTAGTCGTTTAGTCGTGTCCGGCTCTTCGTGACCCCATGGACCAGAGCATGCCAGGCACTCCTGTCTTCCACTGCCTCCCGCAGTTTGGTCAAACTCATGTTGGTAGCTTCGAGAACACTGTCCAACCATCTCGTCCTCTGCCGTCCCCGTCTTCTTGTGCCCTCCATCTTTCCCAACATCAGGGTCTTTTCCAGGGAGTCTTCTCTTCTCATGAGGTGGCCAAAGTATTGGAGCCTCAGCTTCACGATCTGTCCTTCCAGTGAGCACTCAGGACTGATTTCCTGAAGAATGGATAGGTTTGATCTTCTTGCAGTCCATGGGATTCTCAAGAGTCTCCTCCAACACCATAATTCAAAAGCATCAATTCTTCGGCGATCAGCCTTCTTTATGGTCCAGCTCCTCTTATGTTCTAATAATAATAATAATAATAATAATAATAATAATAATTTATTTATATCCCACCCTCCGCAGCCAAAGCCGGGCTCAAAGAGGCTAACAACAGTAAAAATAACACAGGTTACATAAAATCACAATCAATTGTAATATATTCTAAAATCAATTCATTCTAAAATCAATTCAGAGTCAAATTAATGGCAACCATTGGGCTAGAGTTCTATGATTACAGAAGGAGGGGGTCAGACTGTGCCTTGGCCAAAGGCCTGGTGGAACAGCTCTGTCTTGCAGGCCCTGCGGAAAGATGTCAAGTCCCGCATATGTGGGAAGAGGTGACCTTTATAGTCCTCTTCTCAGCCTACCAAGTGTTTCGCTACCACTGATTTTGCTGCTGCTGCTCCTCTGAGCAGATGGTGTCTACAACTCTCTGGGACAGTGGTTTTTGGTGGCACTGAGGAGAGAGTGCTGTTGCTGGCCGCCTCCCTATCACTCTTGTTGCCAGTGCAAGAAATGGCATAAGGGAGGTCCTGGGAAGCATCTGTTCCTTAGGATCATTATCAAATCACTTACCCATTACACTCTTGGCATTTCCTGCATATAAAGTAAAGGTAAAGGGAACCCCTGACCACTAGGTCCAGTCGTGGCCGACTCTGGGGTTGCGGCGTTCATCTCGCTTTATTGGCTGAGGGAGCTGGCGTACAGCCTCCAGGTTATGTGGCCAGCATGACTAAGCCGCTTCTGGCGAACCAGAGCAGCACACGGAAACACCTTTTACCTTCCTGCTGGAGTGGTACCTATTTATCTACTTGCACTTTGATGTGCTTCCGAACTGCTAGGTTGGCAAGAGCAGGGACCAAGCAACAGGAGCTCACCCCGTCATGGGGATTCGAACCGCCGACCTTCTGATCGGCAAGTCCTAGGCTCTGTGGTTTAATCCACAGCGCAGATAGCTGTATGTTATATATCACTAATGATAAGCAGGCAAGAGAAACCCATCCCATGTAACCTCGCTGGTAATCTGATGTTAGTGCAGGGCTATGGAATTTTGTGGTTCAGACTGCTGCTAAAATATGCTTTCTATTCATACTCTTCTATTAAGTTTTAAGAAGCATAGCTGCACTATCTGTTATTTGTTACGAAACGTTGCATCTCCTAGCTGAAGTCCTGGGATCCGGGAAAGGACACTGAGAGCTCCAAGTATCTTTGAAATTTAGCATCTGTACTCAGATTTCGACAAGGAGATTAAAGACCAGGATCTTGTCAGAATTGCTCATGTTGACAAAAAGCATGCGGAGAACTTGAAACAGCTTTTGCAGGGCTGTTTTGGGCTTAGGGACCCACCAAATCCCCAAGCATGTATGCCTAGTCAGAAACGTCTTACTGCTCAAGCTTTTTCCTCTTAACTCAGTCTAGCTTTTTCCCAGGGTGGTTTCGAAATAAAAACTTTGTTCTGACTTTGTACGTGCAGACAGAGTAGTCCTAAACCTGTTTACTTGGAAGTAAGGCCGTCTGATTTCAATGGGACTGACCCACTTGTAGTTATACAGGGAACTCAGGCCTGAGCTATGCAAAGAGCCCAGTGAATCAGGCTCTAGGAACTGCCTTCTATGCTTTTGAGTCTTATTCTTACTAGTTAAGATGCAAGAAGTTGCTGACCTGGAGAGAAAACGTGAAAATTGCAATAATAGGTTAATAGCTACTTTCAAAAGGATTACAATATCTAATTTGTTTGGCTTCTGATTGCTTAAATAAAGATTAACCACCAGAAAAGATACTGAGGTAGATTTTTTAAAAACATGATTATGCAAGTCCCATGAATTCATCTTGATTTGGTTGCACAAAGCTTACACCAAGATTAGACTATGCCTGATCTTATTCAATATCCATTCTCATTTGGTTGGGGTAAGGTCATACAGCAATCAGCATTTAACTTGCATTTATCCTGATTTGTTTGCAAGGTATTTCTATGCCTCCCCTGTGAATTGTTCATTTGTTCTACTCTTTTCAATACATTTCGCCCTCACTTTCCTAAACGCAAAAAGTCAATTTCTTGTTTGAAGATCAGCAAAGCAATCCCAGAAGGTGTCCTGGCTTGTGCCAGGGTGCCAGTCTTTAAAGAGGACATTCTGGGATCCAAACAGAAGCTGGGATTGGCTTCTATGATCTGGGGTGTCCCGCTTAAAATGGGACAGTCGGGTGTGTGTGGAATCGCCTCTTCGGCACAATTATTAAAGAAGCCCCATCTTCATTTTTCTCCTGATCACCTACACTTCCTATTACATAATTTGTTGTTGCTGTAGCAGAAGTGTTCTTTGCAAGATCTTCTTTCACCGGCTCTGTGACTTCTTGGAAATGAGTCCAGATTGTCCACTGCCTCTAAATGTCGCAGATGGCAAATCTAACACTTCTGAGAAAACGACAGCGTGATCTCATGTTGAGACTAGGTACTTGGATATAGTTATTCTTCTTCCAAGGGTCAAATGCGAAATTCAAATCTTACATTTTGTGCTTGGGGAGCCATATTGGTGAGAATTAGATATGAATAGGGCAAGAAATGCATCTTCTTAAAACAGCTTTTGAAAGAAAAACCACCGAACTAACAGCTTCGTAAGCTCCTACGAAAGCTTACTTGGCAGTGAGTTCATTGGATGCAGTGGGGCTTACTCTCCAGTAAAGCACAGGATTGTGTTTCTGTTTTCTTCACTGGGTGCCAAAGGTGATCTCTCCCAAGCTCTGCTACTGTTTCTAGTCAGGAGTGTGAAATTGAAGAATTAATTGAATACCGTTCCTGCATGCATAAAACAGAAGTTTAAATATCAGCATACTTGCTGGAATTTCACGCATAACTGATCCAGATTATACACTCCAACATTTATGAGACTGAAACGGGTGCACTCGTATTAAATTAGCAACTCCCAACATCTGGGATTTGATATATATCCCCCTACCCACCCCATGACTGTTAATTTCAAAACATGCAGCTTACAGGAATCAACATCGTTGCCATATTTAGACTGCAATTCTAAACAGAGTTATTAGGTTGTAAGACCCACTTGACATAGCGGAGCTCGCCTCTAAGTCAGGGGTGGGGGACCTTGGCTTTAGCCCTTCTGCACCTCTCTATCAATTTCCCCCCCCTGATGCTCTCATGGACTGAAATTCCACTTTCTTACCATCTGCAACACACCTAGCCACCTGAGATCCAGCGCCGAGGGCCTTCTGGTGGTTCCCTCATTGCGAGAAGTGAGGCTACAGGGAACCAGACAGAGGGCCTTCTCGGTAGTGGCGCTCGCCCTGTGGAATGCCCTCCCATCAGATGTCGAAGAGATAAACAACTACCTGACATTTAGAAGACATCTTAAGACATGTTCAGGGAAGTTTTTAATATTTAACGCTGTACTGTTTTTAACACTTGATTGGGAGCCGCCCAGAGTGGCTGAGGAAACTCAGCCAGATGGGCGGGGTATAAATAATAAATTATGATGATGATGATGATGATGATGAGATGCTTTTCCCCGTCCCTCTGTCTCCTCCTCCCCTGTCCTTGATTAAGATCAGCAAACATACAGGCGCTTTTTCACTTCACTCAGCAGTCCATAGGGTCCTTCCTCAGACTGAGGCATTGGGGCAAACCGACCTCAGAGAGCCACCACATACAGCCACTGGCTGCTTCATTTAAGCAGTCTTCGCGGCAGTAGCAGTGCAGACCCTCTCCCACAATCCTTCATCCCAAAGAAAGGCCTTTCCCCAGAGCAAGGCATGGGTGGGGGGGCAAGAACAGACAGGCTGGGGGAGGCAAAGCTGCGCATGGCCATGTAGTAGGTCAGGAGGTTGGCTCTGAGGTAGGCTGAGAGCCAGTCCACTACTCCTCCTGACACAAATGTCTCCATTTGCCTAATGGGAGCGCTGGCCCTGCTCATCTGCCATGGTGGCATCGAAGCAGAGTAGGCAAAGCAGCCCCCTTCTCTGTTGACATGGAGAGCGAGAGTCCTGGATCGTGGCGCTTGATGCCCTGTTTTGAGACCTGCCCTTGACAGGTGCCAAATGTCCCTGGTGAGAACAGCAGCCCTGCTGCTTCAAATCTGTATATATTTCGTGCCTCTCCTAGCCTTGGTCATTGAACACTATAACCAAGCAGCCCTCTTTTCTTATAGCCCCGACACCAAAGCTCTTTGCCAGCAGCTTCCCTGGAGCTCGGTGCATTGTGTGGGCACAATAGATGAGAGATGAAAGTCCGCAGGAATCCTCTTGAGAGGGAAGCATTAAGGATATGACTTTTACAAACATCAAGGTGGTTTAGACTGTTTGACAAGGATGATATTTCTATATTGCTTTTCAGCACTGGCCTGGCACCTAGAAGACACCGAGCTTAAATTTTTATCATTTTGGTGTCCTTTCCCACATAAATAACTTTGTGTCTGATAAATCTGAATCTGCAGAACTAGTTCTCCTGCACAATAAGGGTATCCAATTATTATTTCCCCCTATAGCCAACTTCCATTTCTTGAAAGATTATTCTATTCTCCAGACAGAGGTTTCGGGGACAAGATTGAATTTCCCCTTCTAAATCAACACCTTTACACGTAGCCCTTACAACAGGCACGGGGGATATTTGGCCCTCCAGATGTTGCTGAACTACAACTCCCATCAGCCCCAGCAAGGATGGCCAATGACGAAAGGTTGAAGGAGTTGGGTTAGAGAATTAAGAGGCGATAAGAGAGCTGTCTTCAAATATTTGAAGGGCTTTCACATAGATCAAGGACAGCCATCATGGTGTGCTCTAGATGTTGTTAGACTATAATTCCCATGAGCCAATGGTCAGAGAAGGTTGTGTAAGCAGGGCATGACGGACAGACAGCATTTTTCATTCCTGCTTTATCACCTCAGTATATACAGGAAGCTAGTCAAATGGTTACCAACAAAACACACATCCTGGTGTTGTGCTAATATGGCTGTCTGGATCAGGTACTTTCAGTGTTTTCAGACCCAGGACCCACTTTTAATCCACTTTAATCCAAACATTTCTTAAAGGTGGTCGTAGGGCTGTTGTTGTGACCCACTTTGGATCAGGTGATGGCTATGAATATGTGGGGCAGGTGGGGGGTGAAGAGAGGACACCAATCACCTCTTTTATGAACAGTTATCTTGCTGTGAGCATCTGTAAATAGACAACCCTTTGATCTGTCTATAATTTGTCTGCAGATGACGTTGGCGAAAGAAGCTACTCTAAGGATTACTGTTTGATAACTTAATTAGCCGTTCTTCCAAGTCAAGTACAGGGGCTTGAAAACCCCTTTTTCTCATCAGGCAACACAGATATATGCTTAGAAGCGTTGGCACGAGGCTGGAATAAAGCTAATGCCTACAAGTTGCTTTTATTCCATTCTCATGCGTATGCAGTGCTTTATTCCCTAGGAAAAATAGGTGCCCGTACTCTCCGTGAAGTTGTTACCGTAAGTAAAAAGACGTAGGGCTACCGGTACTGCAGATCCTTGAGTACCCCCTGGAAAAAAGTGCTGTGCCTATGCAAATGCAGAGATGCCCAAGGGACTTAATTAGGGCAGGGGGAAGGATTTGCTTCCTCACCTTACACAGCAGGTGGGTGACCAGTATATCTGTAAGAGGTGCCAGCTGCAGAGGGTTGTATTTTTCTGGGTGGCTTTTAATCTTAGCCGGCCTTGAAAGGCTGGCCTACCTGCGCTGCATAGCAAACAGACAGGTTTTTTTATTTTTCTAAACCAAGAGACTTTTCCTCAGTGATTAAAAAGGGAAGTCATGTTCAGGGATGATCTTGCCACTAGGTATGAATGAGCTGTTACACAACTCCCTGGCAGCATGAATAGAGGAATTGTGTGGTTTTCCTGTACTGTGAAGCCAAGCTTGTTATAATAATAATAATAATAATAATAATAATAATAATAATTTATTATTTATTATTTATACCCCGCCCATCTGGCTGGGTTTCCCCAGCCACTCTGGGTGGCTTCCAACTGAATATTAAAAACAGTACAGCATCAGACATTAAAAACCTCCCTAAAGAGGGCTGCCTTCAGTTGTCTTTTAAAAGTAAAATAGTTGTTTATTGCTTTGACATCTGCTGGGAGGGCCTTCCACAGGGCAGGCGCCACTACCGAGAAGGCCCTCTGTCTGGTTCCCTGTAACCTTACTTCTCGCAATGAGGGAACCGCCAGAAGGCTCTCGGCGCTGGATCTCAGTGTCCGGGCTGAACGATGGGGGTGGAGACGCTCCTTCAGGTATACAGGACCGAGGCCGTTTAGGGCTTTAAAGGTCAGCACCAACACTTTGAATTGTGCTCAGAAACATACTGGGAGCCAATGCAGATCTCTCAGGACCGGTGTTATGTGGTCCCGGCGGCCACTCCCAGTCACCAGTCTAGCTGCCGCATTCTGGATTAATTGCAGTTTCCGGGTCACCTTCAAAGGTAGCCCCACGTAGAGCGCGTTGCAGTAGTCCAAGCGGGAGATAACTAGAGCATGCACCACTCTGGCAAGACAGTCTGCGGGCAGGTAGGGTCTTAGCCTGCGTACCAGGTGGAGCTGGTAGACAGCTGCCCTGGACACAGAATTAACCTGTGCCTCCATGGACAGCTGTGAGTCCAAAATGACTCCCAGGCTGCGCACCTGGTCCTTCAGGGGCACAGTTACCCCATTCATGACCAGGGAATCCCCCACACTCGCCCGCCCCCTGTCCCCCAAAAACAGTACTTCTGTCTTGTCAGGATTCAACCTCAATCTGTTAGCCGCCATCCATCCTCCAACAGCCTCCAGGCACTCACACAGGACCTTCACCACCTTCACTGGTTCTGACTTAAAGGAGAGGTAGAGCTGGGTGTCATCTGCATACTGATGAACACCCAGCCCAAACCCCCTGATGATCTCTCCCAGCGGCTTCATATAGATATTAAAAAGCATGGGGGAGAGGACGGAACCCTGAGGCACCCGACAAGTGAGAGCCCAGGGGTCTGAACACTCATCCCCCACCACCACTTTCTGGACATGGCCCAGGAGAAAGGAGCGGAACCACCGTATAACAATGCCCCCAGCTCCCAGCCCCTCTAGACGGTCGGTCCAGAAGGATGTTATGGTCGATGGTGTCAAAGGCCGCTGAGAGATCCAGCAGAACTAGGAAACAGCTCTCACCTTTGTCCCTAGCCCGCTGGAGATCATCAACCAGCGCGACCAAGGCAGTTTCAGTCCCATGGTGAGGCCTGAATCCCGATTGGAAGGGATCCAAATGGTCCGCATCCTCCAGGCGTGCTTGGAGTTGTTTGGCAACCACCCGCTCAATCACCTTGCCCAAGAATGGTAAATTTGAGACTGGGCGATAGTTGGCCAAATTGGCTGGGTCTAAAGATGTTTTTTTAAGAAGCGGTTTAATGACCGCCTCTTTCAGCAGGTCTGGGAAGGCTCCCTCACAGAGGAGGTGCAAGCTAGGTGTCTCCAGGAGCATCTCCGCCACGACCTGAAGCAGCTCGGGCAGGGAATCCTTGGTGCAGCAGGGAGGTCGGTACACCAAAAGGAATCCTGTACTGCCTCTATTGCCCAACTTCCAGAACATGCACTCAGAGAACTGGGTCTTCCCAATAGGACGCCTGGTGCAGACGAATGACTTCCTAAAAATCACTGCAAACCCCCCTCCCCGCCCACATGACCTGGGTTGCTGTGCGTAAGAGAAACCTGGTGAGCAAGCAGCGGCAAGGACAGGCCCATCTGCTTCATCCAACCAGGTCTCTGTCACACATGCCAGGTCAAATCCTCCATCCACAATCAGGTCGTGGATGGCAGTGGTTTTATTCATCATTGACCTGGCATTGCACAGCAACACTTTCAGGTCATGTGGGTTTCCCTTGCTGATTCCAGTATCCTTCCGGTCAGGACCAGACCTGGAGGCAGGGATAGTCCTCAAACAACAACTAAACCTGCCTCCTCGGTAATGACATGGTCTGGTCTTAGCGTAACTCCTCCTCCTGCCCGTGATCACTGAGATCGGGTGTCCCAATACATTCCCTCCTGTGGAACCTGCCCCAGCCATTCTATTGGCCGAGGCCCACTCCCAGGCAGCCCTGACCCTTCCCCTTAAAAGGCAAAATACATATAATAACTTAACAGAATAATAAAAATAGAAGCACAGCAAAAAACTATAGTGCTAAAATTAAACTACTCCCCACCCTAACTAAATACTTAACCAACCGCAAGCAGAAATAAAATTATAAAATTATAAAACATTATAAACAACAACAACCACCATTTAAGGTGCAGCAAATTAAAAGCAGTTAAAACATTAAAAACCATTTTGTCACTTGCTGCAGGTAGCTGCTCAGGCCTCTAAACTGTAGTGGTGAGTGCAGGCCCCGCCCCCTAGGCCAGATAGAATTGGCAGGAGAGGGAGCGGTCCTCCCAGCACTCACGCAGGCAGCAACAGCAGCAGTGTCCCAGAGGCCTTGATGGAGGCCCTCAAGCTGTGGCGATGAGTGCAGGCTCCGCCCCCTAGGCCAGATGGAGTTAGCAGGAAAGGGAGCGGCCCACCCAGCACTCACCAGAGCAGCAGCAGCAGCAGCAGTAGTGTCCCGGAAGCCTCTCTCATGCCTCTTAAGCTGTGGCAATGAGTGCAGGCTCCGCCCCCTAGGCCAGATGGAGTCGGCAGGAAAGGGAACGGCCCACCCAGCACTCACCAGAGCAGCAGCAGCAGTAGTAGTTAAAACTGTTTGGAGAATGGACCCTTCTTTTACTGTTCCCATGCTTCTGTTTAACACTTGCGTTAAGTTATTTCTGCTTTTCTGACTCCGATTAATTTTGATACTGGCAAACTCTTGGTTCAACCACACCAACAGTTTTTGGGGTGTGTTTTATACCACAATGATATTCCCAGTGTATGGTGTGGTAGAATGTAGACTTCAGATAATGTTTGTGGCTCTGGCATCAGGTGAAGTGTGCTTGACAACATCCAAACACCCAGAGTCAGAAAACAGTAATTCAGAGAAGGTAAAAAATTTCTCTGCAGGAAATATATGCCCTTGCATGTTGAGTAAACAACACAAGTTATGTTCCTTGAATAAATTATGATTTTTATTTTCAATTGCAAACCACGAAAAACTTATAGTTTAAAGTAAAAATGTCCAGAAAACACTGCAAACTCTCTAGAATAAAACTGAGACAGTTTTGCAGGGTGTTTTTCCATTAAGAAACCCAACTTTGGTTAATGCCCCCAAACGACGCTATATGGGTTGTGCCAACCTACACACTTCTGACACCCCACAAACTTCTTGACAGGTTTCACTTATCATTTTTTTCCATGGGGGAAAAAAAAAGGGCTATTTTTACAACCCCAATCTGCTTACATTGGCTGGGGTAAATAAATATACCCCAATGGCAAAACTCAGTGCATTTCTAGGACATTTTACGATATAGGTGGTTTTCTTGTTTGCAGAAGAAAAACAGTAAATGGTAACTGGCTGAAACCTGGGGGTGTTGTACAGGTGACAAATTTGTAACAGTGCCCTAGAAAGACTACCCTGTAGTTCTACTTATGCATGCACTCCACAATTAAAAGTGCATCTGGGGTATGTTTCTTGCCCACAAAATTGGACGAAGGTTAAACTTCTACCCCTTCATTCTGGCAGTCTCAATCTATCCTGAGCGTCTCTACAGGTTTCTCTTTCTTTCTTAAATGGCAGGAGCCATTCTGATCACGAGCCTCTCACAGTGTCATGTCCAGTTGCACCCTTAACCGGTGCCTAGAATAATAATAATAATAATAATAATAATAATAATAATAATAATAATATCTTTATTGTCATTGCCCCCTTCGGGGACAACGAAATTACTTGACTGCTCCAAGTAAGAACCCATCGTTGGGGGAGTTAATGGGAGCTAGTTTGTCTTGGCAAAAGGAGTGAAAAGTCCCTGCTGGACTTCCGGGGTGGCGCCATCAGTAATGGCGGATTCCCTCTGACTCCGAGGGGATCGGCTCTGCGGGAATCGGGTCTGCACCGCTACGGCGAAGCGGGGACCCTTCAAAAATCACAGGCGGGTGAAGCCTGTGACCGTGGGACTTGGCGGGCACCTTTTGCGCCCCCCAACTTGCAAAGGAGCCCGACTACAGGTTCCGGAGTGAAGCGGGGAAGCGGCACGGTGCTGTGAGTCAACTGCTTCTTCCGTGGAGCGAAGCCGCACAGCCGTTACCGGAGAGCGTTACCTTTTTTCTGTGACAATTTGGCTACAAAACAACGATCCGTGAGTAGGTTAATTTGGGAAATAAAGGAGGAAAAAAAGAAGTAATTGGATACCGAAGCGGAGAGGCATAAACAGGAAGTCTGCCTTCCGTTCTTTGTAAATAGAGGAAAGCAATGAACTTGTAAGCTAAAACCTTGAAAGACGCTTGAAAAGGACTATAATTCTATCATCTAAAACAAGCGATTTCCCCCCTTACTGCAGGAGAGGAGGGGGGAAAGGTCTGAACTGTATTTCCCTGCAAAAAGAGAGAAAAGGAAGCTAAGAATCCACTGCTTAAACCTGGGAACGGACTGCCAATGAAAAATAGAATGCCGTACTGTGAAATGCGCTGTTGGTGAAAGTATTCTTTGACAGCTAACTCCGCAAGTCTGATACAAGTGAGATACAATCTTTCTGGCTGGCTTCCCTTGGTTTCAAAGTAACGGGAAAATAACTAAAATTAAAACTGTCTTCTATTTTGTGAGCTGGGGGACTAAAAGAAAAAGGACACTTATTTTAAAGTAACAACTGTTGCCTGTTACTGTGTCCCCCTAGAGGAAGTTTGAGATTGTTACAACAACAACTGGGCCAGGGGAATTTTCCACTTCATAACAAACTCTGATCGTGGGACTGACCTTGAGTATTATCTAGACTGTTATGGCAAATGGAAAAGAGAAAATAGATTTGCTTCAGGAAAAAGCAACGAGGTCTGGCAGAGTGTTTCGCACAGACGTTGGGCTGCAGCGAAGAGCATCAACATCTGGTCCTCCTGGTTTATTGAGAGACTATTTTGAGAGACTATTTTGAAATAAATATGAACACCAATGTTGAAAAAAGAGTAATCTGGGATGCAAGCAAAGCTGTTATGAGAGGGTTCTTGATACAACAGAATGCATTAAAGAAGAGAATCCAAAATGAAAAGAAGGATAAAATATTGGATAAAATAAAGGAAAGTGAAAAGAAATTGAGAGCAAAACCAAAGTCGCAAGAGATATTGAGAGAAATAAAGTTATATCAAGTACAATATATGAAAATGATGTATCAGGAGATAGAATGGAAAATTAAACAAATGAGATAAAAGACATTTGAGTCGGCCAATAAATGTGGGAAATTATTGGCCTGGCAAATGAAAAAAAGACAAAAATTAAATACTGTTACAAATTTAGAAGTGGAAGGAAGGAATATACAGAACCCAGTTGAGATTAGAAACTGTTTCCAGAGGTACTTTAAACAACTATATACACAAGGGCCACAGAAAGAAATTGACGTAGACCGATTTTTGAAAACAAATGGATTACAAAAATCTCTCAAGAAAATAAATTAATGTTGAACTATAAAATAACTGAACAGGAGGTAGAAGGTGCCATTCAGAATATGCAACTGGGTAAATCTCCAGGACTGGATGGACTGACCTCTAAATATTACAGATCCTTAAAAGAATGGTTGGTACAACCTTTGAAGGAAGTCTGTAACGAAATAATGGGTGGGAAAAGGGCACCAGAGTCGTGGAAAGAAGCGTATATTACACTTGTACCGAAAACAGAAACTGAAAAGACGCAACTTAAGAACTACCGCCCCATCTCATTGCTTAATGTGGATTATAAAATCTTTGCAGACATTTTGGCTAAAAGACTAAAAAAGGTGTTAATGGAAGAGATTCATAAAGACCAAGCAGGCTTTCTCCCGGGTAGACACTTGTTGGATAATGTGAGAAACATAATCAACATCTTAGAAAAATTAGAAGTGAACATAAATACTAAGGCAGTTTTGATATTTGTGGACGCGGAGAAAGCTTTTGACAATATTTCCTGGAGCTTTATGAAGAAGAACCTACAGGGGATGGGGGTAGGCCAAGGCTTTGAAAACGGTATAAGTGCAATTTATTCAGAACAAAAGGCTAAATTAATTGTAAATAATGTGGTGACGGAAGAATTTAAGATAGAAAAAGGGACACGACAAGGTTGCCCAATCTCCCCATTGCTTTTTATATCGGTCCTGGAGGTTTTGTTGAATATGATTAGAAGGGACCAGTTGGTTAAAGGTATACAAGTCGGAGCCAAACAGTACAAATTGAGAGCATTTGCAGATGACTTGGTATTGACGTTACAGGAGCCAGAATCTAGTACCAAAAGGGTTTTAGAACTGATTCAAGAATTTGGTCAGGTTGCAGGATTTAAACTGAATAAGTTAAAAACTAAGGTTTTAGAGAAAACTTAACACCGATTGCGAGAGAGAGGTTTCAGAATGAGACAGGTTTAACAGTGGTTAAGAAAGTGAAATACCTGGGGATTAACATGACAGCAAATGGGAATTTATTTAAAGACAATTATGAAAAATGCTGGGCTGAAGTGAAAAAAGATTTAGAAATTTGGTCAAATTTGAAGCTTTCATTGCTGGGCCGTATTGCTGCGATAAAAATGAATGTATTGCCTAGAATGTTGTTTCTGTTTCAAACATTGCAAATTTTGGACAAAATGGACTGTTTCAAGAAGTGGCAGAGAGATATCTCTAGATTTGTCTGGCAGGGCAAGAAGCCTAGAATAAAATTTAAAATACTAACAGATGTAAAGGAAAGAGGTGGATTTGCCCTGCCAGACCTTAAACTTTATTATGAATCAGCAGCTTTTTGCTGGTTGAAAGAATGGCTGCTTCTTGAAAACGCAGACATTTTGGATTTAGAAGGTTTTAATAATGTATTTGGATGGCATGCATACTTGTGGTATGACAAGGTCAAAGCACATAAAGCATTTAAAAACCATATTGTCAGGAAAGCATTGTTCAATGTTTGGATAAGATATAAGGACTTATTGGAAAACAAAACCCCAAGGTGGCTGTCACCGATGGAAGCGAAAGCTCTGAAAAAGCTCAATATGGAGGTCAAATGGCCGAAATATTGGGAAATTTTGGAACAGGATAGAGATAGACTGAAACTGCAGAGTTTTGAGAAATTAAAAAACAAAGTGCGAGACTGGCTTCATTATTATCAGATAATGGAGGCATATAATTTGGACAAGAAAATTGGCTTCCAGGTGGAAAAATCAAAATTAGAAACAGAACTGCTAGAACCCAAAACTAAGAATCTGTCAAAGATGTATAACTTGCTGTTGAAATGGAATACACAGGATGAAACGGTGAAATCAGCTATGATTAAATGGGCACAAGATGTTGGACATAACATAATGATGGCTGACTGGGAACAGTTATGGACCACAGGTATGAAGTTTACGGAATGTAATGCCTTAAGAGAGAATATTATGAAAATGATATACAGGTGGTACATGACACCAGTCAAGCTTGCAAAAATCTATCATTTGCCCGATAATAAATGTTGGAAATGTAAGGAAACTGAAGGTACATTCTTTCACCTTTGGTGGACGTGCCCAAGGATTAAGGCTTTCTGGGAGATGATTTATAATGAAATGAAAAGGGTATTTAAATATACCTTTCTGAAGAAACCAGAGGCCTTTCTCCTGGGCATGGTCGGCCAAATGGTGCTAAAGAAGGATAGAACTTTCTTTATGTATGCCACAACAGCAGCAAGAATACTTATTGCAAAGTATTGGAAGACACAAGACCTACCCACTCTGGAAGAATGGCAGATGAAGGTGATGGACTACATGGAATTGGCCGAAATGACTGGCAGAATCCGAGACCAGGGAGAAGAGTCGGTGGAAGAAGACTGGAAGAAATTTAAAGACTATCTACAGAAATATTGTAAAATTAATGAATGTTAGAATGATGTTAGAATGAAGTTAAGTGGTTTAAGCAGCAATGCTATAAAGACGTATGTAAAAATGGACAGTTAACAGGTGAAAATCCAAAGTTATAGTATATTAAGTTAAAGGACTAAGAGAAAATAAAGAGGGAAAGAAATTGCTGAATTAACTAACTGAATTGGAATACAAAAAAGGGAGGTATGAGGAGGTCAGGGAAGTAAGGAAATGAATGTAAGGCATGGAAGACTGATGTATTTTTAAGTGTTTTTTATTCTCCCCCCCCCCCGTATTTTGTATTTTGTATTTTTCTTGTATTTTTACTTTTGTCTTTTTTTTTCTCCTCCTTTTCTTTACTTATGTAATTCTTCTTTTTGAAATCTTAATAAATATCATTTAAAAAAAAGAAAAGAAAAGAAAAGTCCCTGCGAGCCTCTTCGGTTTGGTCCGTTGGCTCCAGTGTTGGGCAGATCAGTAAGCAGCAACGTCTCGGTACTGCGATTTGCCTCGAGACAAGGAAAGGACAGATTTCCAGATAATTAAGCCAAGAGTCCACGCCAGACTGTTCTTTCCGAGCCATTTGCTTCCTCTTCGCCACCAGACTGCCTTTCAAGGCGCTGTCTTTTTTCTGTAAACATCCACTGCTGGGACAAACCCAGAGATAGCCCTGAAGGAGGGCTGTGTGTGGTCTAGCGGTGCTCCCTGCAAGTTTAACAGGAGCTGCTGCTGCTTCGGATACGGAGTTCCCCTACTGTTAATATCCCTCTGCAGAAGACAGATCCTGTGAAGGACCAGCAATAGGAGCTGTAGGGGGACCTGAAGCACCAAGGCCAAACGCGGCCTCCAGACCTCTCTGCCTGGCCCTTGGAACCCTCTCCAAACCACCCACTCCATCTCCCCTGGTCACACTAGCCTTGCATTGCCATCTGCTTGCATGCTTTTTGCCAAGCTGGAATGTGTGCTTGAACTCTGATCGTGCTTCTTGCTTGCCCGGACAGAGGCTAGAGAGGGAAGAGTGAGCATGTAGGAGCTAGTCTACAAAGATAAAATTCACATTTGTTGCCCTGCCCAAGCTTGCCACTTGCCACTCAACTGCCACTGGCATGCGGTCCCTGGAAGGTTACCCAGAGGAGAATGTGGCCCTCAAGCTGAAAAGGGCTCCCTGCCAGGAGGGAGCCAGCAGTAAATCACACCAAGAGAGGCAGAGTTAACTCTTTATATGTAAAACAGGAGTGTCAGGCCTAATGAGCACAGCAACTCCCAGCAGGTCTTGCTCCCCCATGAAGCAGTTGCTGAGACTGAAGGACACTGCCTTCCCACAGCTATCTAATCCCCTCCTCTCCAGGGTTTCCCCCAAGCAATCTGAGACTGCACCTCTGCCCTTTTCATGCCTCTTCTGGTTCTGGGAGAGCAGGGGAAAGATAAGCTTGTCACAGCAGGAGGGGGAGACACCATGACTTCTTCACCAGACTAATCCATCTGTGCCTCTTGGCTTCCTTCCTCTCCTGCGTCTGATTCTGGACTTCTGTCTGCCACAGACTCCGCCAGCTCACTAAGCCCTGTTACCTCTTCAGCTGCGGACACCTCCTCCTCCCAGTCTTCTCCATCTGACCACTCATGATCATCCCACCACCACTTCCCTGACTCTGAGCCTTCTTCCCTTGGTGCCTTCCACCACTCCTCTGCATCTAGCCAGTCCATGACAGTCCCCTTCCCTGCTGTAGGGCAAACTGTTCAATCAGAATAGTAGATGGTGAGGGATTCTTCCTGGTGCCCCTGCATTCGAACACCCAGTTCATTGTTTCCTTCATTTCAAGCTGCTCTGGGTGGAGGCCTCTCAACTCCCGTTGCCCCTCGATAGAGAATGACTCAGCGCAGAATGCTTCTGCCTTTGATTTCCAGGACAATGGATCTTGTCGCCTTTTATGCCTTTCAGGGATGATGTTCCAGGCAGAGGTTTCCCCTCCTCTTGGCTTTGCTTATTCAGTCTGTCAGACTGCGAAAGAGGACTGATTTCTGCGTTCCTCCCTGCTTGGCCAAAGAGGGGGGGAAATAAGGCGCTGGAAGGAATAGGGCAGTTGATTCCATTCAGACAAACAACCATTACACACAGTCCCCTCCTGGACCAGGCAACTTCGTACCCCCCTTTTCTGGGATGCTATCCTACTTTAATGTTGCATGAGGAAGTCTGCTGCTACCTGGAGCAGATAGGAGAGGACAGGTTGGTGACATGCAGCCCCGCCCAATTTCGAAAGCCCTCTGCGGGTGATCGGTTCAAATTTCTATCAAGAGATATTTTGGCACCTGAGGCGAACCACACGCATCCTGCAGGGGAAGGAGGAGGAAATACTTTGGGAACAAGGTGGGGAATCAATTCATCTTACCTGATGGTTGAAATGGGAATCAAAGGCTGTCATGCCCCCCCCCCCCTGAATCACGCTGGGTGTGGGCAGAACCCAGGAGACCCCAGAAGGCACTTTCTCCATGGGGAGAGAGAAAACCTGCGGCTGAGAGGCTGCTGTAGAGGCAGCATGGAAGGAGGCTGCTGAGGAGGCGGCAGATCTGGAATGTGTGGCAGTGGCAGCAGGCGATGCATTCTTTGGCAGCCTCTTTTGATCCTGCCGCCCGAGGCAGTCAACTCACCTTGCCTCATTGTTGGTCCAGTTCTGAAAAGCAGTATGTTCTTCTTTCAGCATTCTGCTGGGCAGGCAGGAAGAAGAACCAGAGTGGAGACACACGTGTCCTATGTGCTTTACCTCACTTGTTGTTGTTTAGTCGTTTAGTCGTGTCTGACTCTTCGTGACCCCATGGATCAGAGCACGCCAGGCACTTCTGTCTTCCACTGCCTCCCGCAGTTTGGTCAAACCCATGCTGGTAGCTTCGAGAACACTGTCCAACCATCTCGTCCTCTGTCGTCCCCTTCTCCTTGTGCCCTCCATCTTTCCCAACATCAGGGTCTTTTCCAGGGAGTCTTCTCTTCTCATGAGGTGGCCAAAGTATTGGAGCCTCAGCTTCACGATCTGTCCTTCCAGTGAGCACTCAGGGCTGATTTCCTTAAGAATGGATAGGTTTGATCTTCTTGCAGTCCATGGGACTCTCAAGAGTCTCCTCCAGCACCATAATTCAAAAGCATCAATTCTTCGGCGATCAGTGCATTCCAAATCCATTAAAATCTTTGCTCTCCAGTGAATCCTGAGTTTACTTGTCATTCTGGCACTATATTAACCCAAACGATACTCCGGCTGAGGCCTTATCTGATCTGGGTAGAGCCCAATACACAGTGCAGTATTATCTTAGTGCAACCTAAAAGTTGTTGGGAGAAAAGAGAAGAATTTCTGTTCCAGGAATGTAGGAGTCAATCACTGCTGGATGGAAAATTGTGGATTAGCCTTTTGCTCAACCGTCCCAATGTGAAAGTGTGTTTTATCCCTCTATCCAGAAGATGGCGCCATTGTGCCACCAGGAACCATTGGCTCCATTGTTTTCACTGTCTGCCTGAGGTAAAAGGATTTGTTTCCATAACAATGCCTCTGTTTGTGGACATATTGCTGCTGGAAAAGACATCGTCTTGGACTGCGATAGTCTACAAAGTATTGAACTGCAAAGGCCAACAGCCCTGAGGTGATAAATCAGAATCATTGTTGAGGAAACAGTCGTCGTGCTTTCCTCCACCCTTATAATTAATTGATTTAGCGCTATTTGCATGGTTCTGGAGGATGTTGGTGCATCATAGAACAAGATGCAGAAAGCAAGTGGGGCAATCTCTTTAATGGGTGTCAGTTCAAGTTTACGATGCAAATAGCAAGCTGCCGAATCACACAGAACTCTTCTTCAAGGGCACAACTTTCATCAACCCTGACCATTGCCCATGCTGGCACCTCTGGTTAATAGAGAGGGAAGGGTAGTCACCTCCTTTGTGTTTATTAATTAGCAGTCCCTCTGTCCAGCTAATTAGTTTTACACACCAGCTATTACAATATAAACATCAGTATGGGGTTATGTGTAATACTTACGTATGCCAATGGAAGCAAACCCTTTACATGCAAAGTGTATGTGTGTTTAAGAGAGAGAGAGAGACAGAGAGCACTCTAAGGTAATGCACATTATTCTGTCCTCATTTTTCCACATCAGCCCTGTGAGGTTTGTTAGGCTGAGAGACTAGTGGCTAGCCTAAGGTTTCCCACTGAACTCCTTGGCTCAGTGGGGATTTGAAATTGGGTCTCCCCCTGGTTTTAGTCTAACAGCTTAAAACAGGGGTGGGAAGACTTTGACTTCTGTCCACAATAGCCAGTCCAGACAATGGTCAGGTCTTTATTTATTTATTTATTTATTTATTTATTTATTTGATTTATTTGTTAGAGCCCTTCATCACAAGAGCACAATTTAAAAATACAGAGTAAAAGCACAAATAAATAGTTAAAACAAAAGCAACAAAGCAGTACCCCGCTTTGCAAAGACACATTTAAAAGGCTGTAGAATATTAATTAGCCCAAGGCCTGGTTGAAGAAGAACGTTTTCGCCTGGTGCCTAAAAATCTATACTGAAGGCTCCAGGGAACCTCCCTGGGGAGAGCATTCTACAAATGGGGAGCCACTGCAGAGAAGGCCCCGTTCTTGTGTTGCCACTCTCCAGACTTCTCGTGGAGGAGGCACAAGAAGAAGGGCCTCAGAGGATGATCTCAGGGTCTAGGTTAGTATATATGGGGAGAGGCGGGCCTAAGCCATTTCAGGTTTTCTATGTCAAAACCAGCACTTTGAATTGAGCCCAGAATAGCTAATTGGCAGCCAGTGCAGTCAGACCAGGATCAGTGTAATAGGCTCAAACTGTCTTGCCCTGGCCGCCAAATTCTGCACTGGCTGAAACTCCCAAACCATCTTCAGAGGTAGCCCTGTGCATAACATATGTAGAGAGTTTTAGTCCAGCAACATCTGGTGCTTTTGCTCAATTTCCCTGTGGGATGGTGAGCTAGAAAAGGCCATTGGCTGGCCTGCTCCTGAGCGCCCTCTCTGGCCATGGGGAGTCCTTGGTCCAAGCAATGAAGCAGGTCGGACGTCTGCTAGCGTGCAGTTGGAGAAAGTCCCAGTGCAAAACTGCCGAAGCAGAGGCACAAGTGTGTAGCTGCTCCTACCATATGGCAGGTGGTAGCAAGGAGAGCATATCTTTCTGCCTCTGCTGCCTTGTCTGCTCAGAAGGAAGTTATGCTGAGTTCAGAGGAGCCTTGCTCCCAGACAAGTCAGAATAAGATTGCAGACTTTGGCTGTTCTTGCAGGACTGAGCCGTGTGTTTCTGAGCAGGAAGGGAAACGAGGGGAAGTAAGTGGAAGAAGAAGAAGGAAGGAAGGTGGAGCGTGGCCATCCTCTTCTGCAAATCTAAAGGGCAATCACCGTATAATCCAGGAGGGAGCTGGAGCCAGCTGCTCTTGATATCTCCACAGTTCCCTGCTAATAGGGTGTCTTGTGTGTTTTTGCTCATGTAAAGGGAAGAATCAGAGTTGTGGTTTCCAGCTTCATTATAACAGGACAAAGAGATTTGTTTTGAGCCAACCTGTGGCAAGCGTGATCAGGTTGTTGTTGGTGTTTTGCTTGTGTGTGTGTTTTTGGTTGATTCTCCCCCATGCTGTTGTTGAAAAATCTTCACATTTGCTTTCATGAGCTTATAGCTAATTGATTCCTTTCTTGGGCTTGGACAGCTTGTTCCCAACCTGGTGCCCTCTGGATGTTCTTGGACTCAAACTCCTATCAGCCCCAGCCAGCATGGGTAATGTTTAGGGGTGTCTGGGAGTTACAGTCTAGCAATTTCTGGGGGGAACCACATTAGCTACTTCAGTTCTATCAAATGGTCCCTTTCCACAGAAAAGCGAGTTACCCATTTTAGAAACAACCAAATACGCTCACCGCAAATGGCCGTGATCCCTCCCACTGCTGCTTCCATTAGCTGGCGCAATTAAACACCTCTCCAGATGACCTGCTCCTTAATAATAATGCCCAGGCAGGGAATGAGGAGAAAGCCTGACTCATTCATCAAGCAGCGAGCGAGGAGCAAAAGGGAGAGTTGGGAACCGGGAGCCCCAGAGAGGCATGAAGGAAGAATGAAAAGGAGTGGGAAGATAAACATGTACTGGAGACGCCAGGACGCTTTTTCCAATATACTAATTATTTTCTCAGACAAAACTCGCTTGGAACAGAGCCATCTTTAGCCTGTAGGGGAAAGAGGTGCAAATTTAAATACAGACCCATAGCAGAGAAGGAAAGCAGCGACATCAGAGGTACCTTGAAGGATGAATTTCTCCCACAGTTTTCATCCTGGGAGCACCCTGCTTTTGCTCCCTGCCTATTACTACCTTAACAGAGCACAGAATGTTTCACTTTCTCAGCAGGCAGCATCCTGTGGGCCAAGGAACCATATCCAGCCCTATAGCCCTCTCTGTCTGGCCCCTGAGACTCTCCCCAGGCAGGCCACACCACCTCCCTCAGGCCACATCCCTCACCAACCTTCCCTTACCCCCTGAGGGATTTGAGGGGGGGCTGGCTGGAATGTGTCCCTGTACTCTGATGGTGTCCAGATACTTTCCTGGATGGTGATTAGAGGTGTGTGTGTGTGTGTGTGTGTGTGTGTGTGTGTGTAGAAACTTGCCTATTGTATACAAATATACTGTTGACATTCATTGCTCTGCCCACTTTTGACCTCTGGATCCACTTGTTACTGGTGTGTGGCCCACAGAAATTTCCCAGAAGCAAGTGCGGCCCTCAGAACTAAAATAGTCGCCTGCCTCTTATATAGGGCTTCATGGGGCTATGAGGCTTCAAGTGTGCAAAGATGACATGTGAGGGAGGTGTGAGACGGCACTTTCCTGCCATATGTGGTGGGTGTTTAAGTCCTGCTTCCGCACCTGTCATGGACCAGTAGGAGAGGAGGGAGGCCAAGAGGCAGAGATGGGTCAGGCTGGTGAAGAAGCCAAGGTATCTCCCCCTCCTGCTGAGATAAGCTGCCCTCTTCTCTTGTCTTTCAGGACCAGGAGAGGTATGAAGTGGGAGGAGCAAAGGAAGGCACGCTGGGGCAGTCTCAGATTTCATGGAGAAACCCTGGAGAGGAGGAGATTTAGGCAGCTGAGGAAAGGTAGGAACCTTCAGTCTCCACAACTGCCACATAGGGACAAGACCTATCAGAGCTGAGTCGCTGTGCTCCTTAGGCCTGACACTCTTGTGCATATCCTGGTTGTTTCTAATAAAGAGTTAACTTCACCTACTCTGTGTGATTTACTGCCGGCTCACTTCTGACACCAGATACCCCTGTGTTGGGCATCCTGTTTGCAGAGTTGTTATGTGCATTGGAACCAACACACATAGGCCCAAAGTGCACAGCCACTTCTTATATAGGACTGGCCTTAGCCTCTGCACACTGAGAAATAGGTAAGGCTTGCCGATCTGTGACAGAGGGAGTGTAAACTGTTTTTTTTTGTCCAGATCTCAGGTCCAGTCTCTAGCATCTACAGGTAGAGCTGGAAAAGACTCATAAGAATGCAATAAGAACCTGCCAACAGTCACACTGCAGCATTCTACACTAATAGAAGCTGGCAACAGTACCTCCAATTACTCTGTACTACAAGGCAGTGTTCTTATGAAGCATCTGGTTCTTGGCCAATACATGGCGAAATATCTGTCAGTTGCAGTCAGGGCCTGCTGGGGCTAGACCTGGAAGCTGCTAAATTTGGGTCATTGTGCGGTTGCAGGTTGGAGCACCTCCTTGGGCAGCAAATGGATCCCAGGTACAGGAATGCTCTGCCCACTCAGGCTGGCTATTTCCCAGGAAGGGTTAAAAAGGTTTCCCTGTTCAGGCTGAGACTTGGCCTGGGAATGGGTAAATTCCATTGGCTCTGACTCTTGTCTTGTTTTGCCTTCCCTGTTCTTACTCCTTGCTTGGTCTCAGGAGGCAAATAGCAGCTGGGCAGGGGGTGGGGATTTATTTTTTTAGCATGAATATTCTCTTGTAATCCTGAGTGGGCCAGGGGGAGGGACCCCATACGGTTGGCCTGTATTTTATCCCTATGTTGCAGACAGCTGGTGTGAGGCTGAGGCAGTACGAAAGCAGCTTCCTGAACTCCTGGCTATAAGTAGATGCAAATGGGGGACTTTCTGGTTCATAGGTGCTGCTTTATACCACCTCTCACAGCCCTTTGGTTGGTCAGTGGGGATCAAGTTTCCCAAGCGGGGCTGGAAGTGATGCACATGCTTGTTTATATTTGCACTATCAATGTTCTGATATGTTGATGGAATTGGAAAATAATGAAGATGGCCACAATTAAATATGGCCTTCACTAGTAGCTTTTGTTTATTGTACTTCCTGTAATATCTCAACCGGTTAGTCATTAGACTCTCTGGACCTTAGGCAGCCATTTATTATGGCTGAAAATACATATCCCCCCCCCCCTTTGCATGCATTGATCTCAGCACCATGCAAGTGCACATCTATCCTTCAATGTGTCACAAGTAAAGGGATGGCACCCTGCCCTTTGGAGAGGGAGCTGTACCGTAACAGCTTCCGAGGACCCTTGATGAGCATTAAGTGGGCCTTAATTTGCCCCTGGGCTCTCTGGGACTCTGTTCTGAAGGTTTGAAATATGGGAAGTCATAAATAAACCAGCAGCCTTTGGAAAATGGTGAGGAGCAGACAGAGGAGAGGCTTGGGGGTGCACCTCCCGTGTTCAACAACCAACAGGCAAGGCTATTTGTGCTATATATTCCAACTGTCCTAAAAAATCCCTATTATCTGGTTTCTGTCCTGAGTAAATCATTCTCCCTGGTTTTGCCTTTTGGGGAGAAGTAAATAAAATGTGTTCAGTGGGATTGAATTCTGCAGCAAGCTCAGTTGTGTGTGGCCTGAATAAATTGTGCAAATTTAAATACGATTTCTTCCTTTGCATAATTTATCCTGTTTTGCGACTGATGTGGAAGGGCCCAGACACTGAAACTCCACACCCAGCCACCAGACTATCTTGATTAGCCATCATCTGGCCTCTGAGATTTCAGCAAACATCCAGAGCCTACAGTGGAATACCCTACCAACTGCCACATATGAAGCAACCATCATCAGTTGCTTCAGACATACCTTGTGTGCGTAAGACCTATTTTTCATCCAGAATCTTGGGTGAAGGTTTAAGTGCTGGAAGAATATGAGTTATTCCTAGGGCAATGCCATTCTGGATCATTCAGTTGCACTTGCAACAACCTCCCCAGAAATTCAGAGTCTCTAAGAAGGGCAATGTATGTTCCACTTCCTTTGTTCCAGCATTGCAGAGGCATCCTCTCGGCTCTCCCAGCGTTGCTGAACTGACTCTGTTGCTGCCCCATGGCAGATTGCGGTCTGTTAGCCACACCTTGCTTGGTGCATCTTTGGGGGCAGTTGTTATGAAATGAAGGACAGGGAGGGGAAACTGAATGCAAGGAAGACATTTGCTTCGGGATATTGGCTCAGGTTGAATAGAGGGTGTTTGCAATCTCTCAGTCCTGCTCAGCTTACGATACTTAACCACTGTACATACTAAACTAGAGGCTAAACACAACTGTTCACTTAGTGCCACTATTTATATTGCATTTAAGGATCATGGCCCTTATTGGTCACCAAAGCAACCATCTTTTCTCAGTGGTAAGTAAGCTTATATCACCATCACTGAGTCTGTGTAGAGCTGGTTCTGTAGAAAACTTGCTCAATATCTGTGTTTGCTTCTGACATGTAAGACTATGGATGAACCCTCTGATCGGAAGGTCGACAGTTCAAATTCCCACAAAGGAGTGAGCTCCCGTTTCTTGGTCCCAGCTTCTGCCAACCTAGCAGTTCGAAAGCACGTCAGGGCAAGTAGATAAATAGGTACCACTGCAGCAGGAAGGTAAATAGCGTTTCCATGCGCTCTGATTTCCGTCATGGTGTTCCGTTGTGCCAGAAATGGTTTAGTCATGCTGGCCACATGACCTGGAAAGCTGTCTGTGGACAAACACCGGTTTCCTCGGCCTGAAAGCGAGATGAGTGCCGCAACCCCATAGTTGCCTTTGACTGGACTTAACCATCCAGGGGTCCTTTACCTTTACCTTTTTTTATAATACTAGGATTTGGGAACACACAATGAAGGTGAACATTGGAAGATTCAGGACAGACTAAAAGAAGTCCTTTTTGCACAGTGCATAGGTAAACAATGGAATTTGCTCCCGGAAGATGTAGTGATGGCCGCCAACTTGGTTGACTTTAAAAGGAGATTATACAATTTAATGGAGGATAAGGATAGCCACAGAGGCTAGGGCTTGCCGATCAGAAGGTTGGCAGTTTGAATCCCTGCGATGGGGTGAGCTCCCGTTGCTCGGTCCCTGCTCCTGCCAACCTAGCAGTTCGAAAGCACCAAGTGCAAGTAGATAAATAGGTACCGCTCCGGCGGGAAGGTAAATGGCGTTTCTGTGCGCTGCTCTGTGGCTTAGTCATGCTGGCCACATGACCCGGAAGCTGTACACCAGCTCCCTCGGCCAGTAAAGCGAGATGAGTGCCGTAACCCCTGAGTCGTCCGCAACTGGACCTAATGGTCAGGGGTCCCTTTACCTTTACCTAAGGATAGCCATGAGGACTAGCCATGATGGCTAAGCACTACCTCCAGTATCAAGAGGCTATATGCCTCTTAATCCCAGTCTCTGTGAATCACCTTTGGGGAGAGCACTGTGATACCCATGTCCTGCTTTTGGCCCACAGGCCTGAGGCTCCCCATCCCCACCGTAACCCAAGGGAACCATCTGCCTTCAGATGCAGTGGAAGAGGCTGCCCCATTGCCAGTGTCAAAGATTCAGCTGAATTTTCAGTACATGGGACAGAAGGGAAAGGTGTCACCCTGCTTTTTACCTCAGGCAGCAAAAAGTCTTGGGCTGGCCCTGAGTATGGTGTCCATGTGCTATAAAACTCCAGTGAGAGGCAGCCCAATTGTTCCTGTTAGTGGAGAAAAAACCCAACAGTGGCTGAGGAGCAATGGGAGAGTCCATGTCATGGAATTCCTCTCCATCACTTTCATCCTGCAGCTCATTTGTTGTCAGTAAAACAGTTGTGACACATGGGATACCTGAGTTGTTTACATGAAACCTGTGCTGTTTACTGATGCTACAAGTGGCTAATCAGAGCCAAGGCTAGGAATGAGCCACTATAATCTCCTTGTGGCTAGTTACTTAAACAAACCTCACTGAACGTAGATTGGGCACGACAGAATCTCAAGGTAAGTGTTAAATGAAATGATGGAGAGCCAAAGAAGAAGCTAAAAGAGTAGTTGTTGATGATCCTTTCTATAAATGGGACTCCTTGATACCTCAGGGCAATTCTCCATCTTACAGAAGTTCACCATTTTCACTAGTGGCTCATTCCTATTCCAACCGATTGAACTGTCTGTCTCCATGGTTATCACTAATAAAGCTTTTGTTCACTGATGGAGGAACATAAGAAGAACATTGCTGGATCAGGCCAAATACTTGAAAATAGTAATACTGTAGTAATAATTTTAAAACCAGATGGGAAATTTAGGTAGCACATTCAGTGCCTGAAATTGTTCTCATTTTATCTTAATTGAAGATGGAAAGATATTTAGCTAAAGAATTCAAGCACACTCTTTTACCCCAGAAGTGCGTGGAATAAAAGGAGGCCTTGACCTCCAGGTGACCATCCGGTTACCCATTACACCTTGTAATGTATGACATCGATATCTGTGAAGGACACAGGCCATAGAAACTCTTTATTGTGACTCTGTCTCAGCAGAATAACGGCTGGCAGAAACAAATGTCGCTCAGCTGAAGGTCAGTCCACCCATGGAGCTTAAGAAGTTAATCGCCAGTGGTGTAAAACGCACCCACCAATGTGAAACTCAAACAACCCTTTTGTGGTCCAGAGTTTCCTCCAGGCCCAACACACCTCAGCAAGGGGAACAGAAACTGCCTTCCAATCAGGCAAGAAGAGTCCCGGTTCTTGTCAGTTTTCCCTTCAACAGTCCTGGTTAGAATGGTGTGTAAAAGAGAAGTAAAATATCAAAAAGGGTGGTGGCGGTGGCTGAAGTATCTTAAATGTACCCATTACTCCACAATGCCTCAGCTCCTCCATTAAATATAAATTCTGTGTAAGCTGTTTTCGAATGACAAAGCTTTCTTTCTCCCTAAAACAATAGGCAGGCA